AAAAATCTGTGTTTTATACTAAAAACGAGCGGTTTAGAATTTGACAAAAACTTCTGTGGATAGGTCAGCGTTTGGGTATAGGCACTCTCAATATTCGACATTTTGATGGACTTCATTTCATTTTTCGATGAAATAGTTAAGAATTTGGTATTTGATGTTCTTAACCAGTAAGGAAAAGTCAAAAGCCGGACGGGGCCGACTATATGATACCCTACAACACTATGCATGTTTAGTAGAGCTCCCGTAACAAAAAAAGTTCATACCACCTATCAGCATTGGCTTCATGGGTCTATCACGCTACCTTCTCCATGTTACAAACAAATACACAAAGAAGTAATACCCTTACCACTATATGGGTGTAAAAGGCAGTAATCACTACGACAGAAAGTAATCTTTATAGGTCCACGTTTTCCTATGACCCCTATTTAAAGTACCTCACGCAATTCAGTATTTTGATTATTTAAGCCACAGGTTTTAATGTAATTGTCATTAATTTTGGATTTGAAATTCGTAGTAAGTACGTATCCTTCTGATCAGATCTTTGCAACAGAATTATCAGAAACTTGGTATTTAATGTAAAGATTAGATCCGTAATATTTCGAAATGTAATATTTTGATAGTTTTCACTACACTTGAGAAATATTCAAGTCGACTATTTTGCTTCAATGGGGTGTGCTAATTATGTGACTGACTCTGAATCAAACAAAAAAAACAACACATCAAAATGAAAAAAGTCATGGAAATCCTTTCGCTTTCATTAGCGTGATAATAATGATGTCGCATTTGGAATGAAGAATGAATAATTTATAGTTTACATTTTGCATTTTCTATTCGACTGCAAAGAAGAAAATGCCCCGGCCGTAGCGTTTAATTCATAAAATGACTTGGCTGCTGCAATTGGAGATGCAGCAGCAACAAAGCGAAGAAAACATAATAAACGACGATTGAATGATGAGATGAGAAAACCCCCACAAAATAATCAACAAAACAAACACACAGACAGACATACGCAGTGCACCCGTCGACATCATCAGCGCCCATTCACAGAAATGCGCGAATGCATTCAATCAAAAAATAAGAAAAAAAAAAAACAAAAAAAAGACAACAATAACGGAATCGGTTCAGTCAAACAAACAAAAAAACGCACTCACCAAAAGTCAAGTAACTAAAAGAAATCATATTTTTGTTCATTCATGGCACGTCCACAGCAAAACAACAACAACAATAATAATGCACCTACTAGAAGCGGATGAATGGAAACAGGCAGGCAGACAGACAGACTGGCTGAAAGACACCTATCAGCGGAAGGTAGATAGATACCAATGTACGAATGTTACCGTTACTATTTTTAAGTAACGCAACTACCAACAACAGATGTCACATCAATGCGTGCTTTTTCTTTCTCTTTTTCAACATTTTTTTTTTTTTTGAATGGGTTACAGGTTGTATTTTTGTAATTATGATACGCACACTCACACACATTCAACATAAAGCTTGACAACTAAAAATGCAATGAGAAAAACAATTAACTGATCACTTTTGTCATTGTTGTTGGCCATAAAACTAATAATAATAATTGTGATGATGACATTTCTGTGGATTTGGATGATGTTGCTGCATCGCCCATGAACATATAGCGAAGAAGAGCAAGTGTATACGCAAGATATCCCACGATTATCGTAGTGAATGTACTTTGAGCAAGCTGCGACTTAATAATCATCGACTCGGTTACCATCAACTTGATATGAAGGTATGTACAAGTGCTCCAAGCCAAAGTCAGACATTTCATACATTTTATTTGTTTTTGATTTATAAAAACGAGGGCTGGGAAAGGATTCTGGTTCAATGGAAAAAATGAAACAAAGGATTTTTTGTACGATCATACTGTCAAGGAAAAAATACTTCTTTTTCAATTTAATGCAGTCACAGGTCAATCGTCCATCATTTGTCAAATGTCAATGAAACCACAATATATCATCAGGCAGAATACTATTGTCAAATCTTAAAAGAGAACAAGTTAGTAATATGTCGGTCCATTAAATAGTGACAAGGATTATCAAAATATCGAATTTCCTTGGATATCGTTAGATGTGCGCTATAGGAAGACGTAAAGCTAAATATGCAATGTTCTGCCAATGTTAGACAAATCCGTGGAGAAATATGGCAAAAATCATCAAAATACTGAATATCGGGTGGTACCGTTATATGGAAGCTATACCGACACGTGAACCGATATATCTATATTTTCAATACCAACCATCTTAGACATAATACACATTGTTGTGCCAAACTTTGAAGCTCTGCGTCAAATAATTTGGGCTGTGTTGTGATCCCAAGAGGAATATGGACATAGACGGAAATCATTAAAACGACTTAGATTTACTTTACTTTATGAGGTCTTCAAGGTGGAGGGTATAAAAAAAAAACTCTTGGCAATAAGAAAAACAAAAAACTTTTTATAAGTTCAACTAATTCGTATATTATTGATTACAGAGGAATTTTGGTCTTTCTTTAACAAATCTTTTAGAAATATCTACATTGGCAAGAATATATTGGAATGTGTTTAGGTGTTTTTGTCTTTAATAGGTATGGCCCAATTCAAGCTTGGATGTTTTTTGTAGGTCTTATTTAAACCAGTTAATTTTGTTATTAGTTTTAATTTGAACAAAATTGGGAAAAATCATATAATAATTTATTTCCGCATAATTTTGAGAGGTGCAACAATTCAATTTACAACAAGGAGTAAAAAATAAATTTTCAAATTCGGAAACAGCGATACAAAAAGATAATTCCATTAAAGAAAATTTGAGTCTTTGAAAGTTAACACTAATCTTTCCTTTTAGGCATGACACGCAGGTTAAAAACCTAAAATTCTTCTCCTGTGGAAATCTAACAACCAATGAACAGTTTTAGACTTTACCCTCCAATATTTTAAACACTGAAGTCTGGCAGGTATTTTTGAGCCACACAATTACTATTCAAACACATTTCCCGATAAAGATTCCTTTCAAGTCCAATCTTTGAGAAGCTCAAAATTGTGTGAAGCAGGAGTTCCACCCTATGAACATGAAACAAACTTTAGCTCTATCGCAAATTATAATGGCCAGTTCGAACGGTGCTTCATTTTCCATAAATACACCATGACCATGTGCCATGTCTCAGCAACAAAAAGGGATGTTGTAGCATACCCAAAAAAAGAAGTTCCTACCTATGTAGTACAACAACCATAATTATTGTTTGGTTTTCTTTAGGGCAGTGATTTTTGTCAATGTGCTCGCCCCCGTGAATCAACCACCAATCAGCCAGTCACTCATCCATTCATTCATTCATATGGGCATGTGGACATGGTTAACAAGAACATCTTTATAGCATGTTTCCATTGGAAACCGAACAACGTTGTTCGCTCTCAGAATTAGGTACACGAATTAACCCGTTCATACGGCACGATTCGTAATTCATAGTAAAATAATTCCTTTTTTCAAAAATTTTGTTTGTTGATTTTAATGGGAATTTATACGAAAATACATGAAATTCTTACTAATATGAATAGAAGAAACGATTGTTTTTCTCCCAAATATTTATTATATCATTAATTTTATAATTTTCATTCACGTTTTCAACTTTTTGTGTAAATGTTGACATTTTGAACATATTTTTGTATTTTTCTATTTTTAAATTTTGCTGGAGAGACACTTGTCAAACATTTTTTCTGCCGATACAAAGTTTTTGAAAATATTGCCTCTTTTGTTTGCAGTTTTCTGTGGTAATTTCAACTTGTGGATAAAATGCGTACCTCGAATGAGAGAGAAAACAAAATGTACTTTCGTTTGAATGTACATACGCCATTCAACATTGTAGTTTTCATTCATAATTTTAAGTCTTCCCAAAAATTTTTAAAATTTCATCAAATTTTTCTATTTTTAATTTTTAAATGTCATAATTTATTTTTTCGATAAATGCTCTCATTTGTTAGGGATGGGACATATTTTTTCGTTGTTCTGAGAGTGATTTGATTTGAACAACGTACAAATATGAGTGTTCGCTCAGGAAATTTTGTGTGAAGAATAATGTATTTTTTTCATAGTTAAGGGTCAAACAACGAATAGAGAGCGAATCAAGTGTAGTGGAAACGCCACATTAAATATTACATCGAACGAACGTACGTGCGACGCACACAAAAAATTCAAATAGGAAGCAAAAAGGGAAACGAGTATGTCATTGTTTACATTTGCGTTAAGTAAAAAATAAAAAATAATAAAAATTTGACACAATACATTATTGGAGGAAAGATATCAACACATTGACATCGTTAAAGGGGCAAGAGGGTGGGGGGATAGGTAATAAACACACACACACACACACTCGATGAGCAATTTCGTGTTTTTTGCCCTATTTCAGTTTCTTGACATAACTGCCTATTTCTTACGAACCATGTTGTAATTCAAGGGCCAACCATGTGTTGGTTACATGTGCCTCAACGGCAGTGCGTGTCTGAAACGTATTAACCTTTTTTGTTTGTTTTTTTTTTTTTTTGCGTACGGATGGATGGATGGTGGACAACGGGTGATATCATACTTCGAATTCGAACGAATTCATTGCAGAAATTCTAATTCGAAACGAACACAAAAACAAACCACCAATAAGGCCACTCTCATTCTCTTTATTGCTGCTGTCGCGCTCTCTTTGTGCAGAAAACAAAACGAAACAAATAGGGAGTGTTTTCAAAAGGAGAGGAAATGAAAAAAAAAACAAAACAGCAGCACTCTTTCACATGGCCACCAACGAATCGAAATTGTTAATTAAATAAATATTGAGCAAAAACAACTTTTTATTTCAACTTTGACCCATTGGAAAGAACTTAAAAATCTGTACGAACAAAAGCCACGAGACATTTTGTTTTCATTCAATAAATTGCTACTACCCCAATTTGAGCCATATTCTTCATGTTTTTTTTTTTTTTTTTGTCATTTTTGTTCTTGTCGTGTAATTGCAAAACTCACCCATTACAACACTTATGTTCGCCTGCTGCTCCCTTCTTTACTTGCTGGTGTTCAATGAATTCTTGCTAGCTTTGCTTTCGTCTTCCCAACAGCACAGCAGCGTCGTTTGTAGGCTTTTTCACACAAAATTTGTTTGCAAAACTTTGTTAATATGTTTTCTGTATTTTGCGGTTAATATTCGTATTTCCAACACTATTTATGAAAATTTCGCATAATTTATAAATCTTCAAAATAAATGCATTTTCTGTCGCTGTTTGCTGCTCTTGTTCGTCTTGAAATTTTTGCAAAGAAACGAAATAGCCTGTGTTTTTTAGGACCACAAAGAAAAAAAACAACAAAATGGTGAAAAATTGATAAACTACTATCTTTACAGAGTTCACTGATTATTAGTTAAAATTTAATCAAACACGTACACACACACGCACACCACCACTCACAGCTTTTCTAATTTTAAGTTAAAAATTGTTAAAAGCTAGTAGCGCAATAGAAGAGCACACACGACCTTTTCACGAACTTTACTTTTTTTGGACTGAAAATAAATGAAATGTCTATGAATTCAAAATCGAAAATCGATTATAAAAGTTGGAATTTGCGATTCTCTTCAATAATCGATTAATCGAAAGTCGATACTTAAGCCCCATTTGAAGAGAGCGAGTAGGGATAAGTAAGTCGACTTTTGGAGTGTTGAAAAGTTGAGGAATAGATGTCGACTTTTGGCTATGGTGAAAATCCAAAGTTAGACTTTTGTAATCGCTTTTGGGGAGGGAGGTGGTACCAGAAAGAGTGGACCGATATATCCCATTTTCACACCAGACCTTGGGCTATTGAAAATATTGTGATGTGTGTTATTTTGGACTTTATGATTCAAATGTTAACCCTTTCCGAGGGGGGTGGGGGGTACCAAAAGGAATGATCCGATTTCTACCATCTTTAGAACAGATCTTGTGTTTATGGAAATATTGAGATGTGGTTGGAGCAAAATCGTATTATCTTCTCTCTCTGCTGTAAATTTTTTTCTTTGAAAAGGTTGAAATTTTGTGCCCATTTCCGAACTTGATCGTAGTTTGACAATAATATTACGATGCACCAAGTTTGCATCAAATCGGATACTACCTTCGAGTTAACGTGTTCTTAAACGGATTTGGTCCAAAGGGACCTAGGGTCAAAAATCGTCATTTCGATGAGGCACGTTTTGGCCGTATCAAATCATATATACCCTCTGTAGCCATATGGCTTAGGGTATAAAATACAACATTTATTGGAACCAAGGCGACTGCAAGTATGCAATTTTTTTAACTACGATTACGAAAACAAGAATTGCAAAACCAGTAGATTCTTACATGTTCTGGATCAGGGCAAAAATGTTGCAAATTTTAAAAACCAGATAATATGTCAAAATGTGTTTACAGCCCCAGGGGCTGGATTCTTATTTTATGAAAATAAAAAAGGAAAAATATTTCCTTTATAAAATTTTTCATTTGACATTTCTTTCCTTTATAAAATTTTTCATTTCACATTTTCATAGAACAAGAATTGAGGCCGACATGGCAGCGAGACCTTATGCTTGGACAATAATTGGAAACTTGAATTCAATAAGGAAACTGAAATATGTTTCTTAAAAAAATATCTTAAATTTGTTTAAAAAGGGGTCCCTGTCAGGACCTACAAAACTTCACTGAACACATTTTCGACTTATTAAATCAAACAAAACAAAATTCTCCAATTCATTCTCATTCACTGAAGTTTTTGGTAAACAGAGTGTTTAGAAAAATTTTGTAAAAATTATTAGAAAATAACGACCAAGAGTTCAAATAATTCATAATGCAATACATACTTCAATTTAGCCAAATCCAATTTGAGTTTGTCTTTAACATGATTCAATGTTTTATTTGTGTATTGAATATATTTTTTTACGGTAAGTATTGAACTTAATCTGGGTATTCACTCTCCCACTTTCTCTCGAACTGTCTTCCTTGTTTTTTTTTTTTTTTATTTTGTATTTCTTTATTTAATAACATTACCAACAAAAATAATTATTTTTATTTAATATAATTTTCTTTTCTTGTTTTTTTTTCAGCAGCATCATCGCCATCTCATCTCAGTTATCGTATGTATATATTATCAATATAATCATTTTTAAAAGTTTAAAGAAATAAAATAAACTATGATAAAACAACTATTAAATATTTTTTTTTGTTTTTTGTTCATCTTAAATACCTTCATTTATAATGTATTGTTTAAAAAAGATTTTGTTAATTTAATTTTGCATGTTTGTATAAACTACTTTTTTAATTTAGGGGTCTTTAAAATGTTTCTCTTTATAAGTTGCTGAAATTTACGTTTTCTTCTTTAAAACGGATAACGGGCACTGGGGAGAGACACAAAATTCGAAATGTCCAATTTTAATCATTGTGAATGAACGGTTTTTTGTGTGTGTTTGGTTGTACAGGTGAAAGTTTGGGGCTTAGAATTTTGATAGAAGTTAACAACTAATAAATGTTTGGAGGACACGTCTATTTGCATCTGCTACATGTTTGTTTTTCTTTTTCTTGTCTCATAAAAATACAAAATTTTGCTTTCAATTTTACTCTTTCTTGCTTTTTTACTAATTGTTATCAAATAAAAATTATATGTTTTTTAGTAATTCGTACATGGGGTGTTCTGCTTGTTTTAGTTTTATTTCATTTCAGTGGTTCTTTAGAAGAATTTTTTGTATTTTTCTTGTTCTGTTTTCTTATAACATCTTTCATAAATTTCTTAAATAATGCATCCTGTTGCGTCTTTAAGAGTTTAGTTAACTAATTCAAAAAAAAAATTCACTACGAAAAATTTCATTTAATTTTTGTTTATATATCAAATATATTAGTTGTTGTTGTTGTTTCTTCAATATACTTATCTAAGCAAAATATGGTAGAAGTGTATCTGGGTGTGTGGATGTTTATTTAGTGTTGCCAGCTAATTATCCTTAGTTTACTCCTCATCTGAATCGCCATCGCTGGAATAGCCTATTTGCTGGTGTCTACGTACAAAGGGAGCTGTTATAACTTGTCTGGAAATGCAAAGACAAATCGATGAAGTTATTAAATTCGTAAAATGTTGTGTTACTTACGCTATTCTACGATAGTGATTTAGCCACTCTTCTAACATTTGGGCAACTAATAGAGGACGTTTACGTAGTTTCTGTTGGGCCACCAATAATCCACCTTCGGTAACACAAACATCAAGCCATTGACGCATTATAGCTTCTTCGCGTCCCATCTAGAAAAGTAATTTCAATGACAGAAAAAAAAAACACATTTAAAACTTTAATCAAATCAAGATCTTTGAATCTTTTCATACCCTCAGCCATATGGCTATAGAGGGTATATATCATTTGATACGGCCAAAACGTGCCTAACCGAAATTATGTTTTTAGACCCTAGGCCTCTTTGGGCCAAATCCGTTTCAGAACATTTGGAGTCGATCTAGCGATGTCCGCCCGTCAGTCTGGTGCGCACGAAAACTCTCGAAGAGAGTATGCGATTTCCTCCAAACTTGGTACATCGTAATAACATTGTCAAACTTATCGGTCCACTCCTTCTGGTACCTCCCCCCAAAATGTCAACATTTTTAAAGAAAATAATGTACTGCACAGAAGGAGAAAGGATAAACCGATTTTGCTCCAACTTTGCATATCCTAATATTTGCTTCGATGCGAAAATGGACAATATCGGTCAACTCCATCAAGTACCTCCCCCACAAATTTGGAATGATTATAACTCTTATAAAATGTGATGTAAGAGTCCGAAATTACACCCTTCACAATATTTGAATTATACCAAGGTCTGGTGTGAAAATGGAATAAATCGGTCCACTCCGTCTGGTACCTCTCCCACAAAGGGCCAAAATTATATATATTCATCAAGCTCAGAAATCACGAAATGAACATCCGATTCCATTCAGACTTGGCACATCTCCATGTTTCCATCAACACAAGATCTGACATAAAGATAGTAGAGATCAGACCATTCCTTCTAGTACCTCCCCCACAAAGGGTTAACATTTTGAATAACCAAAACTATCATAAAATCCGATAAAAGCTTCCGGTTATCTTCAAATCACACACATCATAATATTTTTAGCAGTCCATAATATTTTTAGCAGTCTGGTGTGAAGATGGGATAGATCGGTCCACCACTTCTGGCACCTCACCCACCAAGGGTCAGAATTTTCAATTCGGCGATCTAAATATTTCTCTTAACCAGAAATCTTATATGAATATGTGATTTATCGAAATTTATGATTTGTCATATAATTTGATATAAATTTTCGATTTCCTTTGAATTTTGCACATACCAATATTTTTATCTGTATTAGATGAAATATGAAAACAGAATACTTCGGTCCGCTATATTTGTTACCTCACGCATATTTCCACATTTTCCAAAAATCTGTACATATCTCATATAAAGTACAGGAAGTAGTCGATATAGTCTAAATCTGTCACGTTCTAATATTTATATCAGCCTTAGGTTAGATACAAATTGGTCAATATTTGTCAATTGCTTCGGAACCTGCCCCATAAAGAGTCAAGAGTTTGGATAATGATAAGTCAAGTCTTATGGAATTCGAATTGAATTCTACAATGGTCAAGAAATCGAATACATTTTATAAAATCCCGGCAATATCTTCTAAGTTTACAAAGCGAATGATGAATCCATTTAACGGTGGTATTTATTGCATTGCAGGCGCCATCTATACCTCACATGTTACAATATTACTTAGAATTTGTGTACTGTACACTTTTCCCAATGCATAAAGAATTTCAGTAAAATAACTACATACCTCCGATTGTTTGAGAAAATGTATTGGCAATAATTTTGATTCACAATCCATCAGTGGTAAATAGGTTACATCCTCAGGCTCGTCGCGACGCAAATCAATTCGAGCATATGGTTCCATTGGCACCAATGCACTAAAATGACCTCTGGTATAACCTAAAGCAATTGGTGATTTTATGCAGAAATTTTGATCCCAAAATAAAGGTAAATATACACCTGTGTGGAGGAAGGGAACATTTTAAACATTAATGTCTAATCTTGAACGAGCAGAAACAGCTCACTCACCCTCAAATCTGGCAAATCCAATGTCTTCTCCACGAAAACTTTTAACATACTTAACACCATAAACAATGATTGGCCTCCTCAGTATGTGGGCCAAAGCAAAAATATGCAATTGTTCCAGGGACGCCCCTGGCTGGCTTGCTAACGACAGTAATGTGGACCAGTCTTCTTGCCATTGGGCCTCTTCCAAAGTAAAATGTAACATAGATGCCTGCACCATTTCATACTCTTTCCAGCGAGAATAAAATCTAAGGTAGGGATAGTAAGAAAAAACACAATTAGAACAAAATACTTCTGGAGCTGATGGTTGAACGTACATCGGCGCACATTGATGTAAACTATCTGCTAATGCCCTGCGTAATATATTATCTCTGTCAAAGACTCCCCATGTGGCCTGCATGGCAGAATCTAAGAGACAGTCACCGGCACTTCGGTTCCATAGAACCATTAAACGCGACCCCAGACGTGCTGTTATCTCCAGAGACCAGTTTAAGGCTGGTGGAGGGTTTTCCAGTTGTTTTTGGGCATCGCGATCCAATAGCTCGTCATACAATTGCTCTTGAATGGGCAATGGTAGTTCTTCTATTTCAGCTGGTAGTACAAATGTGGCATGTTCCTGAACATATGTACAGGGAAACATGGATTTCCGCATCCGCAACATATTGGCAAAGTGGCGACGTATGTCGGACGCCAAGTCGGGTGCAACATACGATGGTACTCGTTTTATACCAGGACCAGAGCCGGAAATTTGTGCTAATAGCATAGGCAACATCTCCTCACGGTGAAATCGTATGGCCAAATGAATTAGGGTATGGCCCACATCGAATGCGGAATTACGATTCAAAGCTGCAATTTCAGTACTGGTTAGTGATCGAGCCGGATTGCCGCCACATGAAAGATACGCCTCGACCGCACTATAGTTGTTCTCCACCACGCCTACAAAGAAAGCATTGCATTACAAAATGAAAGAATATAGTTCCGAAACTGTCATTTACCCAAACAAGCATTTAACCATTGCCAATCAACTTGACGTCTTATTTGTCTTATTCGACGTTCCTGACGTTCTTGCATTGTATCACAGTTATTAATAGTATCAGAACCTAAAAAAAGAAATCCATGTTCGAACAAAAAGTTATAGCTTATTGTTATGCCAGGAGCAGGTGCTTACCAAGTTGATAAATATTTTGTTGTTTGTTAAAGGAATTATTCGATGAGACGGTATCATTCATTTTATCACTACTACAGGATATACTACTTTGATTATTACTATTTCCAATCACTGCCCCGCCGCCACTTGCTGCGCTGCCATTGTTTTCAATGCTATTGTTGGCAGTGGCAGAAGATGAACTATTACTATCACGAGGATTGCCACACATGGAACATTTGAGACTTTTTGGGAAATTTTCATAAGTACAAGTCTGAAAAACAAGAAGAATGCAATCATTGAAATCATATGCTTGTGAGAGGAGTATTTTTGTAAGTCACTTACATTGCAGGCCCATTTTTTGGTGTAGCTTGCTAGCTGTGTATTTGACGAGGTGGATGATAAGCAGGTGGTGGTGGATTGTGTCTGGACTGAACTATTATTGGCGAGATTATTGAGATGTATAGTTGAAGAGCCCTCGATCGGGCTTAGACGTTGTGCGGCTGCAGCCGCCCCAGCAGCACTGGCCGCACTATTGCTGGCATTCATTTCGGCATCTATGTTGGTTGCTATTTGCATTTTACTAAGCCTCTCCTGCAGTTGATGTTGATTGCTACTGGCCTCTGCTTGGGGGCAAGGGTCGATGAATGACTTCGTATCAATAATATCGCGTTCCATTGCACTATGTGCCATTATCGGTGAAGAACGCTGACTTGCCACTGAGGTGGCACCAATTTCACGCGAAGGACTTGTTTCTGCCGCTGTAGCTCCTTTCTTGGTGTAACACTGAACACATCGTATACTTCGGGGCCAATTCTTGTAAGTACACATTTTGCAGGACCATTTACAATCGGCATCGGTTGATGTCACAACATCATCAGTCACATTTTGCGTATCCTGACGTGAACAAGCAATCAAACCCAATGGTTGCGAGTCAATAACCTCGGCTACTGCACCATGGGCCTCGGCATTGCCGACATAGGATGTTTGGGGAGGACTCAGTCTGAAATACCAAATTGTGTTAGGTATTTAAAAATCTTCAACATGTTGATTGAAAAACTTACCGAAATATGTCCTCATTAACCATCGGTTTAACCCCCTTACACATGGTGCATTTGATGGCTGAGGGGAAGTTTTCGTAGGTGCAATAATCGCAAGTCCATTTCTGCTTCTTCAAAACTGGGTCGCACATGTTCAACAACAGTAAGTTCTACCCTTTTCCTCCTCTGCTAGAAAGGATCTACCAACAACAGCTTCTCAGACAACAGCAACGGCTTTTAGCAAGCTGTGGCCGTGCCTCCAGATGATTGTTTATTCACTTTTAATATCAATATGGGGAGAGTTTTATCTTGGACTCTTTAACGATGCTAAGCAAGATTTTTTGTTTATTTACAAAGATTATGTCCCTTTAATAACTGTTCGAAATAATTTGAAAGTAGTGCTAGAATGAGAAATATATGTAAAATAAATATATACCAAAAAAAATGCATTTTAACACATCGTAGTCGAACATCCCTTTATAATATTGTTGAAAAACATGTAAATTTGAATTTACTATTCAAAAATATGTCGACCAGTGCATTTACTTTGTTTCAATTAATTTGAATTTATCTAAATATTTTTGATTCATCACATGTGCTTTGAGATTTAGTTTTTCTGTATTACAATATTGAGCTGATTGTAATTATATTTTTTCATTCGTTTTTCAAATCATTGAAGTGACAAGTTCAAGAAAGAAAAGAAATAAAAAACAAGATATTCCATTTCAATTTTGTGTGTTTTTTCATTTGTCAAATTGTTCCAGAAGTTTAACTGAATTATAATATAAAATCTAATAGGTTATGGGCCCAGATAACGCCCTATAAATAAAATTGTGAATATGGACAAGATGAAAAGAAACATAGAACCGTTTAACGGTGCAAAATATTCAATTTGGAAATTCCGTGTTAGATCAATTCTTGCCGAAAATGATGTGCTTAAAGTTATTGATGAAGAAGTGCCAACGGAAATTACTGAAAATTGGATAAAAAGCGAAAGGAATGCCAAGGGTATTATAATCGAGTATCTGAGCGATTCGTTCTTAGGATTTGCAAATAATGACTGCAGTGCCAAACAAATTTTCGCAAATTTGGATGCCATTTATGAAAGAAAGAGCATTGCATCACAACTGGCCTTAAGAAAGAGGTTGCTATCATTAAAATTGGAAGGAGAAACATCATTATTAAATCATTTTCATGTGTATGACGATTTAATATCTGAGTTGGTTGCGGCTGGAGCAAATATCGGAGAAATGGATAAAGTCTCACATTTATTGCTGACACTCCCAACATCTTATGATGGTGTAATTACGGCAATCGAAACACTATCTGAAGACAATTTGACGTTGGCATTTGTGAAGACACGTTTACTTGATCATGAAATTAAAATCAAGAATGACGGAAAAGACACCAGTATGAAAGTACTACAAGCAATAAAATACCGTCGGCGTCCATTTAATAAACCAATATCACATGACTTCAAGCATAAGAAAAAGTTGAAGACCACGAAACATTTTGACCCGTCCATAAAGTGTCATTATTGTCATAAAAATGGCCATGTGAAGAAGAATTGTTTCCTGTTCAAGAAAACATTGGATACGAAAAACCATGGAGATGTAAAAACAGTTCATGCAGCAGTTCAACCCGAGAAAGGATTTGCTTTCATGATTTGTCGGGAAGCTTTTGTAAGCAGAGAAGATGGAATTCCTTTTTTGTTAGACTCTGGAGCTTCGGATCACATTATTAATGATGAAAACTTATTTTTTGATTATGTCAACCTTGAATCGCCAATTAAAATAGCAGTTGCAAAATGTGGTGAATATATTCATGCTACAAAACAAGGAAAAGTTAAACTATGGAGTAGAAACAAATACCAGATTACACTTGAGAATGTTTTGTTTTGTCAAGAAGTTCCACAGAATTTGCTCTCAATAAGAAAGATGCAAGATGCTGGATTTTCTATTGAGTTTAACTCCGAAGGTGTCATTGTACGAAACAAAAGCCATGTAATCATTCAAGGTAAATGTAAAAATAATGTTCCGATAATTTGTTTTAAATCATATAAAAGCTTGTATGCAGCAAGTGCTGCGAAATGCAATAGTTATCAATTGTGGCATGAGAGATTAGGACACATTAGTAAGAGTAAATTTATGGAGATAAAGAGTAAGGAAATGTTTTGTGATAGTCAACTTCTAGACAATGTGCGTCCCAATGAAGAGTTATGCGAAGCTTGCATAAATGGAAAACAATCCCGATTAAGTTTTGGTAAATTTAAAGACAAGGAACACGTAAGGAGGCCATTGTTTGTAATACATTCCGATGTCTGTGGACCGATAACTCCGCCCACAATTGATGAGAAAAATTATTACGTGATCTTTGTCGATGAATTCACTCACTACTGTGTGACCTACTTAATTACCTTTAAATCAGAAGTTTATTCTGTATTTAAGGATTTTGTTGCTAAAAGTGAGGCTCTATTTAACTTGAAAGTTGTTAACTTGTATATTGACAATGGACGGGAGTATTTATCAAATGAAATGAGGGATTACTGTATAAATAAAGGCATAAGTTATCACTTGACTGTGCCATATACCCCACAATTGAATGGCGTTTCTGAACGAATGATAAGAACTATAACAGAGAAAGCGCGTGCCATGATAAGTGGAGCAAAATTAGACAAAATTTTTTGGGGTGAAGCTGTTCTAACAGCAACATATTTAATAAATAGAAGTCCTAGTAAGGCGTTAAAAGATAATTTGAAAACCCCGTTTGAGATGTGGCATGGGAAAAAACCTATTTTTAAAGTTTTTGAGAGTTTTTGGGTCCACGGTATATGTACATGATAAATTGAGAAAAAGAAAATTCGATGAGAAATCATGGAAGGCTATACTTGTTGGATATGAGTCGAATGGCTATAAACTGTGGGATGTGGACAATGGACGTTTTGTAATGGCTCGTGATGTAATTGTTGATGAGAGAAATATGCAGTATTCTAGAGATCTAAAAGACACAGACCGTAGTAAACCTGATAATGTTAACGAATTCCGGAAAGAGAGTACGGAAAATGTAATCCTGAATGACAGTAAGGATTATTTAATGGAGGAACCATTGTACTCGAGTGATGTAAGAAATTTCCGGAAAGAGAGTACGGAAACTGTTATTCCGAATGAAAGTAGGAAAATGTTAAATAACGAATCACTTCATTCTAGTGCTGTAAAAATTTTCCAGAATGAGAGCACGGAAACAAATGTCCCGAATGAAAGTAGGGAGAGTCATTATCAAGAGCATGCATTGCCAGTAAAATGTAGAAATGTTGAGCAAAGTAAAAGTCAATTGCAGAATGACAAATTTATTCAAAATGAAGGTAATTTGATAAGGAAGAGTGATCGCTTAAAAGCTAAGCCACATGTATCATACAATGAGAATGAAACGTGTTTAGATAACTGTATTATGATCGCAAACGCATTTGTTGATAATGTACCGAACTCATTTGAAGAACTTCTGTATAGGGATGACAGCACATATTGGAAAAAAGCTATTGAGGAGGAACTTGATTCTCATTTTTCAAATGAAACCTGGTCAATTGTGCCAATGCCAGAAGACAGAAATATTATAGACTGTAAGTGGGTTTTTAGTTTGAAACATGATGAGTTCGGTAATCCGGTAAGATATAAAGCTAGACTTGTAGCAAGGGGATTTACACAAGAATATTTGATTGATTACAATGAGACATTTGCACCAGTGGCTAGAGTCTCTAGCTTTCGGATTTTAATATCTATTTCAAATCAGTTTGGTTTATTGGTACATCATATGGATGTAAAAACAGCTTTTTTGAATGGGGTGCTAAAAGAGGAAATATATATGAGAATTCCCCAGGGTTTGACATGTGAAGATGGTAAAGTTTGCAAGTTGAACAAGGCAATTTATGGTCTCAAGCAAGCCGCAAGATGTTGGTTTGAAGTTTTTGAGGAGGCCCTGAAGGACATGGGATTTGTTAGCTCACCTGTTGACCGTTGTATTTATTTAATTGATAAGGGTGATGTACTGAAAAATTTGTATGTATTGCTTTATGTTGATGACCTAGTAATAGCTTGTTCAAATAATAAAACTATTGATAATTTCAAAGAGTACTTGAAGAGCAGATTTAAAATGACGGACCTTTCTGATATTAAGTTTTTTTATAGGAATGAGAGTTGAAAGACATAATGATACAATTACTCTAAGCCAATCTGCTTACATTAAGAAAGTACTTAGAAAATTCGAAATGAATGACTGTAAGCCAATTGGGAATCCACTTCCAACAAACGTTGATTATACTGCACTAAATTCAGATGAAAATTATAACGCCCCGTGTCGTAATTTAATTGGATGTTTAATGTACATAATGCTTTGTACACGACCTGATCTAAGCACATCGATAAATATCCTGAGTAGATATAGTAGTAAAAGTAATAAAGAATTGTGGCAATGCCTCAAGAGGGTTCTTCGATATTTAAAAGGCACTATTGATTTGAAATTAGTTTATACAAAACAATCTTGTAGAGAAGCTATATTTTCGGGGTATGCTGATGCTGATTGGGGAGGAAGCAAAGATGATAGAAAGAGTACTACTGGTTTTCTGTTTATGATGTTTGAATCAAATATAGTTTGCTGGAATACAAGAAAACAAAACTCTGTTGCAGCATCCTCTACAGAAGCTGAATATATGGCATTATTTGAGGCTGTAAGAGAAGCGTTGTGGCTAAAGTCATTGTTAACAAGTTTAGGTTTTGTATTCGAAAATCCAATCTTAATTTATGAGGACAATCAGAGCTGCATAAGTATTGCAAATAATCCCTCATGTCACAAGAGATCTAAGCACATTGACATCAAGTATCATTTTTCAAGAGAGCAAGTGGAAAATAATCTGATTAAAATTGAATATATTCCCACAGGCAAGCAACTGGCTGATTTGTTGACCAAACCCTTGTCAACTCCACGATTCATGGAACTAAGAACACAAGTTGGATTAAAGAATTTAGAACACTAAATATAAGTTTTTTTTTTTTTGGTCTGATTAGGTTTTTCTGGGTTTTCCCTAGTCCTTGCAACAAATGTTGGGCCATAAATATTTTTACCCAGATATAACAACTTGTCAATTTTTTATTAAATACTATTTAAAGGATCGACATATTTTTGAGGCGGCGTGTTGAAAAACATGTAAATTTGAATTTACTATTCAAAAATATGTCGACCAGTGCATTTACTTTGTTTCAATTAATTTGAATTTATCTAAATATTTTTGATTCATCACATGTGCTTTGAGATTTAGTTTTTCTGTATTACAATATTGAGCTGATTGTAATTATATTTTTTCATTCGTTTTTCAAATCATTGAAGTGACAAGTTCAAGAAAGAAAAGAAATAAAAAACAAGATATTCCATTTCAATTTTGTGTGTTTTTTCATTTGTCAAATTGTTCCAGAAGTTTAACTGAATTATAATATAAAATCTAATAAATATACCTATATTCTTATATTATATTCATCTGTATGTAAAAGCAAAATTTACTTTCCCTATCCATCCAACTGTTGCCAAGAACTAGACAAATGACAGACTGTCCTTGTTCTATTTTAAATAGGCGAACATTAGATTGAAAGGAAAATCATTACGTCACAGTTTCTTTATCTTTTATCATTGCCTTCTGTCGTAGCGGATTGTTCTTTTCACTTTTATTTTAACTTATTTTCATAATATACATATGTACATATATATACTGTTTTTAAACAACAATCTTTATCTGTTCGTCCTCTCTGAGATGAACGACTTTTTGTTATTCAAATTTAAATTTTGTTTGGCGGAGATTCCTTTAATTATTCGCATTCAGTAGAGCCATCTTATCTGGAAATTATTTGTTTGACGTGAAAACTTGTTTGTTTTTGCAGTAGGTGTTTGTTTTGCGGCCATTGACTTGAAATTTGATTGCAGACTAAATCTGAAAAAGAATGAGGGTTCGCCCTGTATGAAGGAAAATGTAGGCCCTTTTATTGGAAATGTATATTTGCAAAAGTGTTAAGCTTATAATGACTAAATCACAATTTGGTGATAAAAGTGCTATCGGCTGGAGAACAAATTTAATTGTCGCGCCTGATAGGACAATCTTCTTATGAAAATGCTAGACTCAATTTCTAGGATCCAGGTATACGGACTTTACACAACTTTGGAAATAACCTTACTCCACATTCGTGTTTTACTTTCACAATTTATTTAAAAACAGCCTTAGGGATAGTCTGTGGTCTTGACATCGCATGTTGTATTTCGGCCAACGGCAAGGACATTGCTGCAATATTTGATAAGAAATTAGAAGCAGACTGACAAAAAAGAATTGATAAGACAGACATTGAGGATATTTTTTGTCCGACATACATAAATAAATCCTTTTCATTTTTGTTTTCGAGTGAAAAAGCACAAATTCGAGGAATCTGCTTCTATAAAACGTCACAATTGACCTTCATTATCATAGAGCCCCCCTCACAAAGTATGGCGATTCTTTGCAGAGATACGGCCAAAGCAAACCCAAATCCCAACCGTGTGCAATTGACAGCCATTGACTTCCTGGTCACTTGTCACAAAATTGTTATTGTTGTTACAAAGTTGAAGAACGCACCTCCTCCAGTTCAATTTAGCTGAACACAAACCATTTAAACACCCAATTATTGACAAAATTTTAATTTGTTTTGTTTATAAATAACAACAAACACTTCCCACTAAAATGACAAATATTCAGTTGTCGCTACTTCTGCTTGGTGTAGGCGTGTGTGTATATTATTATTTTGTTTTCGTACTGTTCGTATTGTTGACAGGTTGGTTGGTTTGCTCCATTGTTATGTTTGAGTTATGTGTACTGTTTTCGAGACTCTCATCTTTTTTAATCGACAATTGGGCAAGCACTCCGCCTCCGTCTACAAAAGGTGGACAATGAATTTGCACTTACATTTGCAAATTATTTAAATTATTTGCCATTCATCTGTGTCAGCCCTCCCTTTACACTTCCTTCTCTTAACAAGAGTGTATTTGCATTTGTCTTCTTCTTCTTCCTCCTCCTCTTTCACTTGCACCAATAATGTGATGAAATGTTATTTTTGCAATTAATTTTGCACATCATTCGTTTTAATTCGAACCATGTTCGACACCAGTAAGACAGCGAAAAAGAAAAACACTTCAACTTTCACTTTGTACTTTGTTTTCCACACATATTTTTCTGGTAATTTTCTTATTTACATTGCATGGTGTTACACCATTTTGTCGTTTCTCTTTCTCTCCACAGTTCACTGTTTAGGTGATATTTACCCCTTTCTGAATTTGGTGACAAATTTTCAATATTTTATGATTAAAACATGATTAAATTTCAGATTTTAAGAGATTTTGTAAAATGGTATTGTTTTTTCTGCCTATTTTTTTTTTGTTTGAAGAGATTTTGGATTAGAGCTGGCAAATAGTCGATGGCTATACTGATAGTGCCGATACTTTATTTTAGAAGGAAGTATCGATTGCTAGTTTTTTTCTATCGATATTATCGGACGTAATGCCAGTAATAGCATGTTTCCATTGGTTTTTAAATTACAAGTACAAGATGAAATTATTGAACAATATGCATATGGCCTTTTAATGTCTCCATGGTAGAAGAATACAGGTAAATGTATCAACGCTTTAGAACAAAAAAATGTCAATTTTTTTAAATATTATTTTTTTTTCTTCAAAAATAGGTAGTGTGTAAGTATTCGTATATATTTTCTTATACGACAGCAATCGGAGTTTCTTATGATAAGCTTTCAACCATTTAACGAATTTGAAAAATGTTTCGTTCAAAATTTTCAGTTTCAAAATTGGTTTGACAGTACATTGTCCCAGCAACTGTGTCGATGCGACTATTATAATATAAAGAAGCCTACAGGGCCCATAACATATATTATCCATCTACAATACCCTAATATTATACAAATTCAATTTCTCGATGAGGCAATAAATGGCCGACGACATGCAAAAAGTGCATCCGCCGAGAAATGGCGATAAAGCAACAACATGAATGATATGCTCTTAAAATCCGATTCCAGAGCATTTCCTTGTTTATTGAATGGAGAAAAATCGGCGAAAACCTTATAAACCCATCTTATTAATTTGCAAGTATGTCAAAATAAATGCTCTGTTACAGAACTGCAAGAATGTAAAAGGTTTTACTACGACAAACAATTTTCTCTTTATAATATTGAAGATTACTGCAAAATTAGTAGATTCATATAGGTACTGAAAGAGAGAGCATACAAATTAAAATGAAGTAGATTCTCGCAGGGTAGAAATGACTTGTTCTAGAGAAAAACAACTTGTTCCAGAACTTCATGAATCCTTAATAATATCAAAAACACTGCAAGTTCTTGAAATTTCTAAAATCTCAAGAATCTACTAGTTTTGCATTTTTTTCGATATCATAAAGGGAAAATCGTTTATCGTAGTAAAAACTTTTACATTATATGTCCTCGTTACAGGACTTCTGGTTTATCTAAAATTTTGTAATAATAATCATTAATTATTATTTTTAGTATTTATATTATTTTCTATGTCCCAAAACCTCTAAGAAACTAAAATTTGTTCTACGATAACCGGCTTAGTTATCCCTAAAGACAACGATCACAAAGAGAAACAAACACAAAGACAACTCCCAAAAGTCGACTGAGATATCCCTAGAAACAGCGATCACAATGAAAAAACTGAAACAATAAAGAGAACAATTGATTTGCACCACAACAATAAAATAATTTATTATTAAAATTCTTGCTTTGTGTGCCGTGATTTAAACTTGAAATTCTGTCGGTTTGTTACATAAATAAACAGATCAATAGCTTTTATTTGTATACAAAAGCTGGCCGCGAGTGTAAACAAAAAAGCTACCGAAAGGAAAATCTCGTTTGCAGTCGAGACGATGAAAGAAAGTAGAGATGTGAAAAAATGTTTTTGATTACCTTTATATGGCTTCTGGAACATTATCAAAAACCTTCGATTTGAAATTGGAAAAAAGTACAACAGATCAATTGTACAATAAATTAATTATTTTAATAATTCTGTAATAATAATTGAAATTAGCATCGTATCATCACGCACAGCGATAGCGTTTGTTGTCTGAGTCTTTTGCTTAACCCATTCGTCGCATTTCACCCGTAAAACCGTAAAACAAGAAAGACCTTTATTGTTTTGCTATTTGCCAAGAGGGCCGCCGCCAGCGATCGCTTGTGCTTCTTGTTCAGCTATCAACGTTAATTACTCTTGTGACACCCAAAATGAGTATTAGAACCCGTTCTTTAATATTTTCAACTTTCTTTGGAAGTTGTATAGCGATCGGTTTACTTTTGGGTAGTTTAACCACAGACAGCTGGGTAAGGGCAACACCAAAGCGAGGAAATTCATCGGTAAGTGTTTTTTTGCTGTTTCGAGTTTATTTTTTCTTGTTTTGTTAATTGTTTCGTTTTCGGTTTTATTACGCATGCATACATGAAATTATCAGGAAATCAAAACTAGTTTAATTTGGCTATAACAATGCGCTGGCTTTTCTCATGTGCGAATATACCAAATTGTTGTAGAATGAAAAAATATAAAAACAGCGAAACAATGCGAAATGCAAAGAAATTTCATAGCGAAATTTTTATGTATTTTATTTGGCTAAATTACATCATTCTGAAACATTCAACACTGGCAGTACTTGCTTTAAATATGAATTCCTTTAAATCGTACTTTTCTATAGTTATAAAGTATCATTTATAGTTGCGGTCAGGAGAATTTTACCGTTGCGAATAAATTTCATATTTATACCTTCCACCGTTGACGGTATAAAGGGTTTTACCACCGGCTTCGGAACATTGACCATATTGGTGTACGGTATTCATATAACGGTACTGATCGATATTTGGTATTTTGATAATTATACCCTCAGCCATATGGCTAGAGGGGGTATATATCATTTGATACGGTCAAAACGTGCCTTGTCGAAATAACGGTTTCAGACCCTTGGTCTCCTTGGACCAAATCCGTTTCAGAACATTCGGAGTCGATTTAGCGATCTGTCCGTCCGTCCGTCTGTCTGGCTGGTGCGCACGATAACTCTCGAAGGGAATATCCGATTTGGTCCAAACTTGGTACATCGTAATAATTTTGTCAAACTTAGATCGAGTTCGGAGATGGACAATATCGGGTACCAGAGTACCTCCACAAAAAGGTCGAAATTTTCAAAAAAAAATATTTTCTGCAAATCCTAATATTTGCGTCGGTCCTAGGTCAGGTGTGAAAATGGACAATATCGGTCCACCCCTTCTAGTACCTCCCCCACAAAAGGTCGAAATTTTCAAAAATATATATTTTCTGCACAGAAAGGGAAGCAATAATCCAATTTTGCTCTAACTTTGAAAGTCCTAATATTTGAATCAGTTCTATGTCAGGTGCAATCATGGATAATATCTGTCCACTCCATCAAGCCCTTCCCTCACAAAGGGTCAAAATTTTGAACAATTACAACTCTTATAAATTGTGATGTACATGTCCGATTGTCTTCAGATTACACACATCACAATATTTTTATTAACCCAAGATCTGGTGTGAAGATGTAATATACCTGTCCACTCCTTCTGATACCTCCTCCACAAAGGGTCAAAATTTTGAATATTCATGAAGCTCATAAAGCGAAATTATCATCCGATTCCACTTAGACTAGGCACATCTCAATATCTCCATCAACACTAGATCTTTTACAAATATAAATTTTAATCTCAATAAAACAATAATTATATTTTAATTTATTTATTAATTTAATACGTTACAATTATAAAGTCATTTCATCAATAATTTATACAACATTATTCCTTTTTTCAGTATACCTCACAGGAATCAACCGGTGAAGTAAACTTTGGCTTATTTTATGGCAGTAAAGTTTTAAATTCTGGAATTGGAGAACGCATTACACCGGTTGAAGGTAAATAAGTTGTTGTCAATTCCACATTCAAATACCCTCTCTTATTTGCTTTTGATTTTGTTACAGTCTACACTTTCATACAAACGGAACCGGATTCTATGAACTTTTGGCTTTGGCTGTTCACAGCTTTGGGAGCTGGCTTTGGTCTATTGGGCTGTGCCATTTCGGCCATTGCTGCTGTCATTAAGTCAGCCTCGGCCGCCAAGGGCCCCATTAATCTGGTAATACTCATTGCATCAAACATATCCTCAGCGGTGACACAAGTTGTTGCATTCATCTGCTGGCTAGTACAATTCATACAATATCTACAGCACAATGTTTTGACGGTGGCCGATCAAAAACATCACTGGTATAGCAAAGGTTTAGCCTCCTTGGGCTATAGCTTTTACATGGTTATACTATCAACTCTAGTCGTTATAATAAATATTGGTATATTATTGTATGCCCGGCATTGTGATCGAAGGGATCGCCAACGTTTGGAGCCGCCAAGTGAAGAGAAAAACCAATGTGCTATAATGTTGTATTAGGCACAGAGCACAATGCTGCAGGAACAACAAAAAACAACGCTTACTCGAATAATGAACGAATATTCAGAATCAGTCCATATAAACCTATACAAAGTACTCTATACTTACTCACGCTCACTACTTTGAGTCGAAGTTTATAACATTCCTCAACAAAACAATACAACAAAAAGACTTTATTTGCCTTTATTGCCGTAATATACACACCTGCTTACCTACATACTTTTTACTTATACGAATCTCATGCTGATAATATATTTCAAATCATAGCTCATATACCCACATATATTTTAAGCTTTATAATGAGTTTTATTTTGGAAGTATCCTCTCAAGTATTTCATATATCTCTGCATTTATATCTAAACTTATGTTTGCATTATAATCATCCAAAAATGATGTGAATTTTAAATAGAAGTACCATTGCAAAAATCTACATTGAATTGTACACTTTTTTCTACAAATGTATGCGATTTTTCCTGTATGGTATTTTTAAGTCATCTTAAACTGTTAAGTTTTTAATAATTTTTAATATTAAAAAAAAAAATAAAATAATGAATTTGTAATGTTATGAGTTCTTTTTCTTAAATATATTTATAGAAGTTTTTAAACGCTGCAGCCGTTTACCAAAACGACACAATGCATTCAAATCTGTTGATGAGAAAAAGAAGATTTTGACAATATTATATTATTGAAGTTACAAAAACACTGTATAGGATAAAATAAGTGAGAATATGGGATTTTTACAAATTTTTTATCAGTAGTACAGAATTGTTTTTAAATTATTGTTACAAAGTTCGTTACGAAAATTCTTATATAACACAAATATATAGATTCAAAAATTCGCTTCTCATATTTTCACAGATAGATAAATTCTTTGTGCAACATTTTGATTAGGAATATTCCGTTGCTCTCCCAATAGAAATTCCAAAAGAATGTTCTCTGGAAATGTAACTCCAAATACATTCCGGGAGAGATGAAAAAACTGCAACCAACTTCAGACTGCTGTCATTTCTAAGCTACTTGTCCGACAGCTTTTAAAATTTTTTCCAGTGACGACTCATTATATTGTTTACAAGCGTGCAAATGCATTTTGGTGAGTTTCTCCAGAAAAAAAAGTAAAGAAGCGGCTTGATCGAAACCCGCGTCGCAGTAGCCGAAAAATAGCTCGTGAGCTAAACAATTCGCAATATTCCATTCGGCAAATATTGAAAAATGAGCTCGGGGTAAAGCCATTGAAATTCCAAAAAGTGCAAGAACTTACACCACAACAGAAAGAAAATAGACTCAAAAGAGCTAAAGAGTTGTTTCGCTTGGCCGAAAGTGGTGAACTGCCGAATTTGGTTTTCACCGATGAGAAAACATTCGTTGTTCAGCAGTTTGTAAACAAGCAAAATGATTGTGTTTATTTGCCAAAGAGGTCAGCTGAAAATGTGCACCTTCGATTGGCCACCAGAACCCAAGCACCATAGTGATGGTGTGGGCCGCCATAACAGTCGATGGACGCACTCTGCTCGTATTAATCGACTGTGGCATCAGAATAAATGCCGAATATTATCGCGAAAATATTCTGGAGGGTGTATTAAAGCCTTGGGCACGCAAACATTTTGCTCGCAGACCTTGGATATTTCAACAAGACGCAGAACCATCGCACTCAGCACGCGCCACCCAAGAATGGTTACAAAATGAGGTTCCTCGCTTCATTTCCAGCTCACAATGGGCACCAAAATCTCCGGATACCAATCTGTTGGACTATTAGATTGGATCTGGAGTATTTTGGAAAGCAAGGTTCGTACAAAAAAATACCAAAGTGTCGATCACCTCAAGCAAGCGCTTCGCCGGAAATGGGCCAAAATACCGCAGAGCAACGTTCGGGCAGCGTGTGACGGTTTCATTGGCCGTTTGAAGGTCATAATTCGTGCCAAAGGTGACCAATGCGAACAAATCTAAACTTATTCTAAAAGTTAATGCTATTTCCGACGTTTTTTGCTTTCATTCAATAAAATTTAAAAAAAATGTAATAATTATGGCGTTTGACTTTGTTGCAGTTTTTTTATCTCACCCTGTACTATATACACATAATAACAAACTTTGCCTTATATTTCAAATATATAATATACAGAAAATCAATAGAATTCTAATCTAGGTTCGGCATCGTCAATATTGATGTTATTCGCTACCGCGTTATGTGGTTGTCCATCCATAAAATATCGCTGCCTCGCAAATAGCAAAGCAAGATTAATGATGTGCAAGATCATGACAACAACCACCGAATAATAGGCACCACCTAAGCTGGCATATCCTTCAGATGTGAAATTGAGCTGTTGACGTAAGGTGTCAGTAACGGCAATGTTGTAACGCAAATGGCTGCCAAACATGGCAGCCCATAGGGCCAAACACCAAAAACAACATCCAGCTGCGATGGCATTCCAAATGAAAAGCCCAAAGATGTTGAATATTCGTTCGACAGGATGCCATTTCATATTGATGCCGGAACAGACGAAGGCCATAAGCGAGAAGGTGAGTTGTAAACTCAGAAACAATATACAGCAGAGATGAATGGATGAGGGCATACAAGGAGCACGGGTTGGCGATTTATATAGGGCTAATGCTTTGGTGAAATTCTTCGCCTGGGGGTTGCGGCTTAGTTTCTTTCGTTTGTAGTCTTTACTTTGTTCGCATGGATCCAGGTCTTCGCCATTGATGACACGTTTTAGCTCGACTTTTCTTCGCTCTAAATCCTGCTGGCAGCTGTACATGCAGAGGTTGAGATCGAAATCACAGACGACTGGAATATATAATGTTTTTCTTAAAATGATTTCAAAATTACGAGATCTGTTTATTATGCCTGAGTCAAGATGAAAATATTATCTCTGCACCTCTAAATGAAATCCACTAAGGCTCATAAAATCGAAAAATGAAAAAATACCAAAAAAATGTTCTTTACCTGTCAATGGGAATTTTAATGTGGATGCCAGTTGTTGCCTTTCGATGGAACCTTTAAACAGGCCATAGTTGACATGGCTCTGTAAACGTTCTGTCAGTACTGCTGTAGCTTCTAACTGAAATGATGGTCGGTTGGTTTCAGAAGTGTTGGTTGGAAAATGATGTCGCCTTGAACTTTAACCTTACCCAATGATCACTGGCGAATGAGAATATGGTTAGAGCTGTGGCACAAAACGAGACAACCGTTACGGCCACAATAAATTTGTGTTGCTTTGTATTCCGCTTTACTTGGGATGGTGGTGACATTGTCGATTTGTGTCTTCCGACTTTAGATGCTTCTACGTTAATGGCGATGATAACTTTCGCAGTTGCCAGTCAATGACGAATCTTTTGATAAAAAAAAAACAAAATAGAAAAATCTTTGATATCTTATCGACAGAAATTCATTTGAAATCACAAAATAGATAAAATTGTAGTGGTTCTCTCTTCTGATATTTTATATATATTTATGCAATATTCTATTGAATATAAGTATGCGAAAGTAGCTAGCTATGCTGTTTCATTGAATATTTCTTCCAGTTATCATATTTCTTGCTCAAAGTCACAGATGTGAACATATGTTCGTTAGAACTTTACTGAAAATTCTGAAATTTTGATTGGTTGTTTTCTTAAAAAAAACTGAAACCGAATAATGTTACAACCTTTACAGAGAAATATTTAAATTAAGTTTCTAAAATTTAACGATAAAATTGGAAATAATTTCAATATGATGCAACAAAAGTGAATTGAATAAATAAAATAGCCAGCCTTGACTTATGATTATTCAAGATATTGACCCTTTATGGGGCACGTTTCAAAGCAGTTGGTCAATATTGACCAATTCGTATCTGACCTAAGACTGATAAAAATATTACAACGTGACAGATTTGGACTATATCGACTACTTCCTATACTTTATATAAGATATGTGCAAAATTTTTGGAAAATGTGGAAATATGTCTGAGGTAACTGATAAAGCGTACCGAAGTATTCCATTTTTATACTTCACCTAATACAGATAAAAATATTGGTATGTGCAAAAGTTGAAGAAATCGAACTTTTAAATCGAAATCATAAATTTCAATAAATCAGATATTCATATTGAGAGAAATATTTGGATATAGCAAGTTGTAAAGAATCGCCGACTTGTTGCAAGTTATTGCAGATAAAAGTATTGCATATTGTGACAATTTGTGGGAGAGGTACCAGAAGGGAACCGTACCAGAAGGGAACAGAAGAACCGATGTATTCCATCTTTACCCCAGACCTTGGGTTAATAAAAATATTGTGATGTGTGTAATTTGAAGACAATCGGATAGTTACATCACATTTTATAAGTGTTATAATTATTCAAAAATTTTTACCCTTTGTGGGGAGGTACATGATGGAGTGGACCGATATTGTCCATTTTCGCACCTAACTTAGCACTAATGCAAATATTAAGATTTACAAAGTTGGAGCCATATCGGATTATCCCTTCTCTTTCTGTGCAATAAATTATTTTCTTTGAAAATGTTGACATTTTGTGTGGGAGTACCAGAAGGAGTGGACCGATATTCCCCATCTCCGAACTCAATCTAAGTTTGACTTACGATATGCCAAGTTTGGATCAAATCGGATACTCCCCTCGAGAGTTATCGAGCGCACCCACCAGCCAGACGACGGACAGACGGACGTCGTTAGTTCAACTCCAAATGTCCTGAAACGGGTTTGGTTCAAAGAGACCTAGACAATTCTCTCCTAGGGGGTAATGTATTCAGAAGGAACTAATTGCGTGGATTTTCAGACAAATTCGAAAATATCGAAAATCGGGGGTACCGGTATATGGGGGATATACGATATTGTATTTAAATATTGTAATCGCTTATGACAAAAGTTTCCTATGCATGTCCACATCTTCGTCAAGACCCCAAAATATCATACGGTATTTTAACAAATTTTTTCGCGGATTTTATTTTATTAAACATTTCCAAATTCGTCCCAAATGGTAGAAGGCGGAACTTACTGCTCTTTTACTTGTAAATACTTATAGCTCTCATAACATGAAAATATTCGACTTGCTTTACCATTATTTTTATCAATATTCGAAGAAGTGGTATATAACATATTACAAAAACTATCTCATATGTCATTTGGCACATTGTAATATTTATATCTATACTTAGGTCAGATACGAAATGGACAATATTGTTCAGAATAATCATAACGCAAAGCTGAGGGTATACCCTACCTGTCGGCAAAATTTTGAGACTTTTTAACTTGTTTTTAAAAGGATTCGTGTAAAAATGTATCGGAAAAAATCTTTAAAAAAATGTTTCATGTGCAGCTTGATCATCGGCTTTGTTTACAGGCCTGCTAATTGTCCGTTTTATTTTTATATGTGGCGTTTTGGACATTGTTTAGAAATTATGTAATAAAATCTCATTCATTCATTCTCATGCATTGGAAGTAAAATGCCTGTGGCCAATGTTACGACCGATTTCGTTGTAATAACAATTATATAAGTTCCCCATATCCATCTGCATGTCAAGGTCATTATTTAAATTCATAATTAATTTGCCTACCCATCGATCTATTTCCCAATCTCACACACACACACACACAAATAATATTTATGCAATTTTAGATAAATTATTTGGCAACAAAGCCGTTGTTGGTAATCAAATCTAATTACGGACAAATTGAAATGTCATTCAAAACTGCGGGTTACGATAGCAAAAATTCTGTGTGAAATCCCACTGATTAACTCTGGCAATGGGAAATCTTGAATCAGTGGGAGGTGGTTGGTTGGTTGGCTGGCTGATTGCTTTTCAGTGGAGGAAATGATCGATTTATGGTTGTGGTTAACAAAAGCAAATGTAGGACAAAACCAAAACAAATATTCAGCCAGACGAAGGGTGAGACCCATAGCAATAGGGGCTAAGGGAGAGAGTATTTTTTTTTTTATTTTCAAAATTTCTCAAAGAGAAATGTCTTGTTTCCCAGCAAAGGCATCAAATGATGACATAATTTGTGTCCACACGGCCAGAGAAAAACGGGAACAAACATTGCATTGTAATGCAATCGGCGATCGTTTAGCCACACAAGTTGTAGAGGTGCACAACAACAGCAACAAAAATAAAGGAAACAGGAAGAAAACGAAATAAAAAGAATAAGGAAGTAAACATCATCATTGTATGATGGCGCAGCACAATAGATGTCTTCGGTTCCTGATTGAGACACCTAAGGAACTCACCATGCCATCCCATGATGATCGATGAAGAAATAAATGTCGAAAAAATTAGTTCCTTTTTTTCTTGTTCCTCTTTTTTTTAAACCGATCACTCTTCCTTGTGCAGGATAATTGATTTGTTTGCAAAACATTTTCTTTCGAACAAAAAAGTCAATCTTTGTTGCAGCCATTTCCTTTCGATTGTTTTGGGGGATTTCCCAAGACTGTGGCCAAGTCAACTTGTGAGGTTAGATTTTGACAAAATAATTTGTTGTCTTCCAATGAAATGAAGATATTTTTATTGGCCACCTTCACGCTCGTTAGTGTCAAAACATCATTGATGTCTCCTTTTTTGGAAATATTGTTGTGACATTTTATTTTTTTAAGGAAAATTGATATTTTTGGCTAAGAAATTGAAAATGATGAATTACTTGCAGAAAAGTGAATGGTTTTTTTTGGAGCACATACTATGACACTGGTCTGCTAATGGTCCGTAAAATGAATAATGATATAACATAATGAGAGTTCTTGCATTATTTTCTTCACGACATCATATGATTATGAGCCAGATTTCAGTCATTCAGATAGATTTGTCTTAAAATTGGAGTGATTGTAGAGTGACATGTAGAGGGACATTGAAGTATTTCACGCTGGTTACGGATTTATAGGGTCTTAAATAATTATTTTGATGACTTGCAAATTGAGTGACAAACCAAATAAACCGCCTCATTCCGTTATGGAGGGTAGGACAGCATTGGCCAATTATTTTCATTATTTTAATATATCGCTCACATTGATATAACTTAAAAAATCAGTTTTTTCTACATTACTATGGAGAGCTTGCAACTCCTCGAAATACTCATTTTAGACCCAACAAAATTTCGAAGTTAGATTTTTGGAATTTGGACGATTTAGACCACTTTTCAAACGTAATTGTTTAAAATTCACTACTTAGTGTTCCTAATGGGTTCTTTCTCCTGTAGCAGATCACTGCCAATCACTGGTTCACGTTTTGCAATAGCCCTCCATGTTTCGGTACCTCCCGATATTCGGTATTGTGAAGGTTTTAGCCAATTTTTTTAGGGGAATAGTTGAAAGTCCGATATGTAGAGTTTATAATGGGTTCTACTTCCTGTAGCATAAGACTATTCGAAAAGATTCATTATTTCTTATATCACTTATAAGGCGGTGATTTTTATACATTCAGCCATATATCTACAGAGGGTATATATCATTTGATACGGCCAAAGCATACCTCATCGAAATAACGCTTTTAGACTCTAGGTCTCTTTACACCAAATCCCTTTCAGGATATTTGGAGTCGATCTAGCGATGTCCGTCCGTCCGTCTGCTCGTCCGGCTGGTGTGCACGATAACTTTCGAAGGGAGTTTCCGATTTGATCCAAACTTGGTGCATCGTAATATTATTGTTAAACATAAATCGATTTCGAAGATGGGCAATATCGGTCCATTCCTTCTATTACCTCCCAAACAAAATGTCAACATTTTCAAAAAATAATTTACTGCACAGAAAGAGAAATGATAATCCGATTTTGCTCCAATTTTGTGAATCCTAATATTTGCATCAGTGATAGGTCAGGTGGGAAAATGGGCAATATTGGTCCACTCCATCAAGTAACTCCCCACAAAGGGTCAACATTTTGAATAATTATAACTCTTATAAAAAAGAAAAAGAGTCCGATTGTCTTCAAATTACCCACGGCACAATATTTTTATTAACTCAAGGTCTGATGTAAAGATGGAATGTATCGACTCTCCCCTACTGTTACTTCCCCCACAAAGGGTCAACATTTTGAATACTCATGAAGCTCATAAAACACCAAATTAACATCCGAATCCATTCAGACTTGGCACATCTCAATACGTCCATCAACACAAAATCTGTCATAAAGATGATAGAGATCCAATTATTTCCTCTGTTACCTCCTCCACAAAGGGTCAAAGTCTTGAATAACCAAAACGATCATAAAATCTGAAATAACATCCGGTTCTCTTCAAATTAAACTCATCACAATATTTATATTAACCCAAGGTCTGGTGTGAAATTGAGATATATTGGCCCACTCCTTCTGGTATCTCCCCCACAAAGGGTCAACATTTCGAGTAACCATGAAGCTCGTAATTTGCGAAATTAATATCAGTTTCCATTCAGATTTGGTACATCTCAATATTTCC